TATTACAAACTGACTGAGTATGTCCAGTTATACCACATTTAAAGCATTTAGAATTACGAAATATACATGAATTACATGGGTGAAACTTGCCGCAGAGCAAGCATTTACTAAACTCGTGCTCATCATCATGGACTGTTTCACAGCTCAATGAAGTATTATTTGAATAAATTTGATTACGCATCGAACTGCGACGACTTATTAAAGAAGTGGAATTCCTGAAGTTCTTGCGAGTCATTTTATCGGATTTTTCTCTCTTACCGCATTCGGAATTTGTATACTTTACATGATCCAACAGTAGTTGCTTGAGAGTTGCATAGGGGGGTGAAATCGGTTTGTCTGGAAGTGCCAAAATCTTTATAAGGCTGTATGCTTCTTTCCCAATGAATGTAAGGAAATGGGTCACAATATTAAAATCTTCATCATCTTCCTTGGTCAAAGCCCAGATTTCGAACCTCTCCATGTACTCCTTAAAAGCATTAAAATCTGAATTTATAATTAACCGTTCCATCACAGGCTCAGTCGCGACGCCAATATGCTGATCAGAAGTATTTGAATTGTAGTATAAACTAGTAATCCCAGGAATAACGCAATTTAATCAAGAAGTACAAGAGGAGCACAAACGAATGTATTGTATTTGGAATACAAAATTACAACAGTCACCAATACGAAGTCATTGGTTTATTTAAACATCACAATTTCCTTCGGTACAATCGTACGACACGGCTCCTACACTTGTAGTACTCCATACGACAGCCGACACACACCTTGACACTTCGTCAACATCAGAAAATAAACCTAAAACAACGCGTTCTGGAAGGAGAGTAAGATTTCCAGAACACTTAAACGACTATTGCACGTAGGACAAAAACCTCATCTCAAATTCCCTTTGCATTATTCATTACAAAAAAAGAATTGATTAACTATGCTCAATTTTATATATTTATTCCAAAAAAAACAAAGAAAATATTTGTTTACCTATTAGCGTATACATATTTTTTTATTAAAAAAAACCGAATTTTTTACAATCGCTTTTACACTGTCGCAAATGTATTCGTTTATTTTTTTCCGCTCATCTTGTTTCCTTACGCGAGTACGAGCGTATTTTTGACATGCACTCACACGTTCTACTTTTCCTCTTTTCTAGGACGGCTGGAAAAGAACGACGACGTTTCACAAGGAACCGAAATTTTCATTGTATTTTGTTTCTTTATTACTATGTTGTACTTCATGGTCCCTTAGTGTAAGGAAAGACGACCAGACGCTGCTAAACATAGCAAGCTATCAGAAGAGTGTTTACCAACGACAAACTCGTTGGCTGGTCACGTCTTAGGGGCATCACTATCTCACTAGGGGTAATTGATCTGTAGCTGTGGAGAATTCCCCAAAATCAATAGCTCATTAAGTGTTCGACATTGGATGCTGACCACATTGTTTTAAGTGGACTTGTTTAACTGAAGGCGTTCGGTCATGCATCCGTACCAGATCATGTTTTGACTTAGCGTGTGACACTGCTCCTACGTTCACTAGCCAGTCTAGAATAAACGCTTCTCGATATATTGATAACGTATCAAATATAGCTTTCCTACCTTTTCGCATCTGACTTCTGATTTTAACCCAGTGAGGAACGATTCGAATATAGGTGTTACTGGTTTATAGTTACAAAACTATAAAACTAGTCTTATCTTCATTACCACTACGAGTCTGTTGGTTCTTTTCACACAGATATACACATGTTACTAACCCAGTGGGGAACGATTCGAATATAGGTGTTACTGGTTTGTAGTTGTTGTATCTTCAACAACGACATCGTTTGGTTACCATTGTAACTGAGCGATAATACTTATAATGGATAGAACAGTTTATCGCTGCACATTGGCAAATGACATAATATTCAAAAATATTTTAACACATAATTGCTTCAACCTACATTTTATAAATTACTACCAACATCCATGTTCAGCACTACCATAATCAGAGAGTTGGATCAAATGTGAAAGTTTTTAGAGCTTATTTTTGCTTAGAACTATGATTGTAGTCTATTTTGGACTTGATAAATGGTAAATTCCACTTGCCTGAGCTTGTATTGTAACAAACAACCACATTAGGCTGATTAAACATTGACACAGGTTGTGAGTAACAACTACGTCAAACTACTATTAAACTGGAATAAGTAACGTAACAAGCAAAAACGACATAAAAACCCTCGACAACATGTAACATGTGCGTGGGAACCCACGGCCTAATTTCTTGACCGTCCTCGACTTCACAGCAATTGATGTACAGAATGGTCACCTCTTGTCAGACCATTCAAGGTCGTTGAAACGGAACGGCGGGTGGCCTTGAAAGAATCTGACTTTTCTACCGTGCCTTTTTAGCGTGTCTGGTTGCTCTAGGTCTATGTAAATGCTTTCTGACTTGTTGCTGCTACTCCGCTTGATTCGCACCAACATCCTTTGCTTTTTCTAACACATGTGCACAAGTACTTCACCTGTTTCCAGCTTATTGTTCAATTAACCCATCACATATACGATACACATATAAGTAGTATTGTCTATGGATTTTCGGGAATTACCTTGTTTTTATTGTCCTGGAATCCTTTCAAACAAAGCAATAATCATATATAAGTTTTATCTGAGCGACCACCACTTAGTTCTACGTAGAACTAGATGGTGGTCGTGATCAGATACGGTGAGCACAAAATAATAAGAATTGTAGCACATTGTCGTAGTTTTTCAGTAGAAAACGTTTGCTCACTTATTACTCATTAAAAATCACACGTTATTAGGTGACCGAACTTCCAAAGCAACCTAGTGACTCAGCAAGTTCATTTGCTCACACTACCTAGTTTCCAATTATTTGATGTCTAAAACGTATGGGCTACTCTTTAGCAGCATTCATAAACAGATAGGATTGACTTAGTAGAGTTGGAAAACCTTAATTTCAGGTGAGAGGAAAGTATGGGTGACGCAGTCATGATGTGTTGTGAAAATTCATTTCCTAATTGCGTTTCAGTATCTAGCGTTTTGCGTTGCCTGATGGTTAAAGCCTTGTTATTCCAGCCACTGAGTTCGTGGCCATCACTATTCGCTTCCATTTCAGCAGTCGCGATCCATTTATTTTGTAACTGCCTTTACCAACTGAGAGAGTGATTTTGAACATCTGCACATATATATGTATCAGACAGTAGGAAGGTTTTCAAAAATCCTACAAAAAACAAGAGTAAATTGCTTTCCAAACTATCGCCCTTTAGTATGTATTGTATATCTTCTATGCCTCCCATGGTATGTTGTTTACTTTAAATATCAGAAAACAAACTAATTCGATAAAGTTTAGCCTTTGACATAAAATACTATTGCTCGACAAAGCTTGTTCCCATAAGTCGACGCCATTCTTCTCGATAGTAATACATCTAAATTGACAAACAGCCTGGGAGATTACAGAATAGTAATTGGTATTAGATTATGGGATGACGAAACGCAACTGCTTTGATTCCTATTGGTTCGTTAAGTTATTTGGACATGTGATATGATATTTATCTAAGGTCCGATACAAATACCATGGCGTTTAGATAATCAGATGACCTATTAGATGCGTTCGTAATGTGATAATCCAATTGTTCATAGTCTACTCACGCTTTTAAGATTCATGCTACAACTATAGAGTATTTCGTTAACCGTTAGATTTTAGGGTTTCCATGTTGAAAGCTATAACAAAGCTGATCTGAAAATGCGAATAGTATTTCTTGCGGGCGGATAGTTTGTTTATTAACAAAATGTATGATGTAGATGCCTAAAAGAAGTCTTCTGCCAAGACGTCAATGTATCAAGGTTTCTCCTTGTTTTCTACACCGCACTATGTAAAGAATATTAAGACAACTGATAAAATATTCTGACATGTGCTATTCATTACGTTCGCAAAATCATTTCTTGATGTGAGCGATTGAGAGATATGAGTGTCATCAGTTACTCAATTATTAATGAACTTACAATCTAAATCCCAAGTCTAATATCGCTCGCATCTGCTGGGACCAGCAGGTAAACAATAATAAGGTTAGACACAGGGCATTAGGAAATGATGGTAAATCAGTTGATGAGGTCATGAATCTTCATCGACTTAGATGGTTAGGCCACGTGTTACGTATGCCTGAACACCGATTACAACGACGCGCAATGCTGAGTAGTATAGAGGATGGTTGGAAGAGAGTTGGGGCGGCCAAACCAAAACATGGTATCAGTGCTTTAAGTCACTAACTTCCAGTCTGCGCCATGTTGGTATGTGCAGACTACTTGGTTGGGGTCTGCGTGACTATCGTGACCACAATGGTTGGAGTCTGCGCGACATGACTCAAAATCGGTCACAATGGCGTAGGTGTATACACTCTTTATCTTCCCTTAAACCGTGAGATTAAATTACTTTATATGGTTTTTTCTACGAACTAATTCCTTCTTCCTGTATCATATCCTCATATGCAATTTTTCTTTTATATATTACTACCATTGAAGTAACTACTTCTATAAAGTTGGTGTTCATCTTGTTGTGTTAATGAGTTGTGGCAAGTTGGACCGATGTATATATGTACCTGGTCCTTCGATGTAGCTGACTGACTAAATCTGATGTTTCAGCGACATACCTTTCAGATTTAAGGCTTTGGTTTATGTACGCAACGTTGGTATCCAATTCTACATACACAACGAATTATTCACTTCATGCCACCTTAGAGATTTCAGGTATGAAATATATTGACATCTAAAACTCGGGTACAAAAAATTAGGATCCCTCATTTAGAGACTCCCTACTATAGTAGCTAATTACCAACTTAATTACAGCAATTCATGTATTAACTGGTCCTCGAGAAAGTATTTATCTCTTCGTAATAATGTCTCATTTCATCTGTTCTCTCTAATATGACACCATTCTTATAACTGGGCCTGGTTCACCATTTTTTATAATAAAAAGTAAAACCTAAAACAAAAGTAAATTTTATTTAATCAATCCTAAATCTCTGTTTCTCTGCTTCACAAAAGTTTTATTTATAGAAGCATCTAACATGCGATTTGCATTTTAATCTAGGGAATTAATGTCTTCTGAAGTTATTAATTTTTCTCCGGTCTCCAACAAATTTACTGTTGCTCTGTGCGTACTGAATCAGTGGGCGCTTGACTTTAGTGGAAATACCAGACGTGTGATTGAAAGTGTTAAAACTGCTAAACGTTTGGGAGCTAAGTATAGAGTTGGCCCAGAATTAGAGATCTCAAGTTACGGATGTGAAGATCATTTTCATGAACTGGATACTTATACTCATTCATGGCAATGCATTACAAAAATATTGAATGAAATAAATGAAAATGTTGAAATGCAAGATATTGTTTGTGATATTGGAATGCCAGTTTTACTAGGAGGTGTGGCTTATAACTGCAGAATTCTTTTGTTAAATGGGACTGTTCTACTGATACGACCGAAATTAGTCCTCGCAGATGAAGGTTTACACAGGGAATCTCGTTGGTTTACGCCTTGGCCTCATCACCAGAGAATCATTGATTTTGAGTTACCCGAAATAGTCCGAAAAGTAACCAAGAATTCTCAGTCAGTAGCAGCTTTCGGTGATGCTATTTTACGATTTTCGGGAAATGGCTATTCTGAATATGTACAGATAGGCTTGGAAACATGTGAAGAGCTTTGGACGGGGACACCACCTCATATTGCTATGTATGCAGCTGGTGTAGATGCTGTGCTCAATTCAAGTGCCAGTCACCATGAACTGAGAAAACTAAATAGAAGAATAGAGCTAGTGAAGTCTGCCAGTACGGCAAATGGTGGTGGGTTCTATGCGTATACAAATCTTAGAGGGTGCGATTCTGGGAGAGCTTGTTACGACGGTTGTGCATTAGCTGCAGTCTCCGGTCAGGTAATTTTTCTGAGCCCACAGTTTGGATTTGGAGATGTCTCTGTTGAAACTGTCACTGTTTGTCTGAATTCACTGAGATCAAGGCGAATCGCCAGTCGTTGTTTTGGACGTGCGGCTGCAGCTAGTGCAGCTGCAAAATCCGATGCATTTGGTATTACACACAGTTGTTATCCAGTTGTTAAGGTACGATTTCTTTTCGTTATGCTAAATATTATTTTTATCGTTTAACGCACTGGGCAAGATACTAAAGCTTTGTTGTTCTTATTATACCACTCATCTATTTTTATTAATAATCTGATTTCTATAATTTTCCAAAAATTATAATGTTAACTGACTAAGACATTAAATAGGAATAATATATATTTGTAAAATCTCAGCGAATGAATTTGTAGTAAATCCAACGTTTCGCCTGACAATCTGGTCCAAGCTTTTTCAAGGAATTATATATGTTAACTGACTAAGCTTCCCAAACCTTTTCGCAACGTGAAAGTTTTGCAACTGGTCTGACATCCACATCTATTATGTTTGTCCATATGGAAGAAGCTAGTTACTTTGGCTAGCTTTCTAGATCTAGGAACTTACAGAACAATTTAGGCATATAAGCGCTCGCGCGCGAGACCGATAAGTCCTGGGTTCGAATCTCGCGAGGCGGGATCGTGGATGCCCACCGCTGAAGAGTCTCACAATAGGACAAAACGGCCTTCCAGTGCTTCCAGGTTTTCCATGGTGGTCTAGCTTCAAATGACTTATGATCTCAACTATTGAAATTAAATATATAACTTAAAGGTTATAATTTGAATATCTGCATCATCTGTAGGGTAAAATAAGATTCAAGAACGGTAAAGCATGAAAAGGGATATTTCGTTAGTTATAATCGCTAGAATTGAAATTTTGTTGGTCAGTTACCAGAGATTAGCAATACCATACCGATTAGATGCACATTTTCTGCCATTACTGACCATGAGTCATTTCACCTATGTTTTTGAAGGATCGACCCCACATACTGTTGGAAAATATTAGGTTAAGCAGTAATTATAAGTTAATGAAATAATATAAATCCAACTAACTAATCAAGTACAGAACCACATACTTCAATTTTGGCCATATCTTCATATGAAAGCCGAAGATTCGAACCATAGACATGGATTGTGTAGTGTTTGGCAGGATTCAAACTTGTGAAACTTAATAATCAGACCACCGAACAACAACTCTGAAACAATGCATAGCTAGGTTAAAACTTTAATTGGAATTAGTTTGGTTGCCTATGTAGTGCTTTTGTTTATCTACAAAATATTCGATCTCTATACAAGCAAATAACGCTCCACATCGCTTTTCATCTATAGTTGTTTCCTCCATCAGAAAACTTTATAATTAAGCAAAGGTGTGAATTCTGACAAATTTATTCTTTAATTTATAATATCTGCCTAGGTCATTTTCATTTGTAGGTTGATTTCAATCTTTGCCAAAGTGACCATTGGCCTGATCAGTCCTTACAACCACACGTTGATACTCATATTCTTTCACCTCCAGAAGAGATTTCATATGGTCCTGCATTATGGTTGTGGGATAATTTACGACGAAGCAAGTCTTCAAGATTTTTTCTTTGTCTGATGTTATCTGTCTAGAAACTTTTCAAGACAACTGTAAATGAAAATCACCAAATTTATTTTATTCGACATCTTGTTTGAATATATCTATTTCAGGCAGAGCACTCTATCTATGATAGTCATATCATATCATGCACAAGTACCTGCTTTTTACTGATCGTCAGCACCATTTAGCAGAAGGTACCTTGGATGAATAAACTTGATAGTCCATTTGTGAAGTATAAATCATCTGCAATTTAAAATCGACTCTACTATCTTCCAAAATGTTTGCCATTGGTACTCCGACACTTTACAAATGTATATGAACGTTGAACCGGGAATGTCTTGAACAAAATACATCTAGCCAGTGGTAACTTGACCTCGAACAGTCTTTTTCTAGGTCTTAATCATATATGAATCCCGTTGTGATTCATGATGTATCTATCAAACTTCATTAATTTTTTCAACACTGAATGAATAAAATTATCGGTGGCTATAAGAATAGTGAAAGTTCCGACAATTTAAAACTAAAAAAGTATAAGACTCACCAGTTCCGGCAAATTGAGTCAAAACCATTAAACCCAGAATAATATCTCTCCTTTTGCTAAAAAATATTTAAGTATGGTTTATGTACTTACAAATCGTTATTTTAGTCGAAAATAATAACCAGTCACTATAGTTATCAAAAATTTAAGGTCTAAAGCACATTTACGTTTGTTTTTCTACATTGACAAATCAATTTTGAGGCAATCGTCATGTAAATAAAAGCGTTTAACTTTTAAAATGCCGAAAAGTGCTAGGAATATTAAAAGCAAAACACCAAGAGCCTCAATAGGCTTTTCTGACTGGGAGTCAAAACTTTGCGATCTCAATTTGGACGATGTATGTCGATTTTTGAAATTTTTATAGAGTGTTCAGGATGCATGGAAAATGTCACTGTCGATTCTTTCACCATCACTATTACCGGAAAATGAGATTATATCAATTTTGGCAGCAAGCGTTGTCAATGGGCAGCGTCAAAAATTCACAGTTATAACATATGAAGACGTCCTCAATCAGATTTTCATTCAATGTAAAATCAAAAGTCAAAAGGATGCTCCTGAATTTTATGAGATTTGCAACGTGGCTAAAAATCTCATTGAAACTATCAATGAATTAAATCCACAGACACTTTCAAAAGTTTTGAAGTTTATGTTCAACAACATAAAAATGCTGGACATTAAGCAGCAGTCATTACGAAAAGTTAGTTAAATAATAGTATCTTGAAAATATTCTCTGAGATCCGTTTTATTGTTATAATATACCAGGATGTCAGCGAAAACAAAATTAACCATATTTCTACCTCGTTTTTGTATATATTTAAATCCAACTTCAGTTTACTGGCGAACTCTTGGTAAGTCCTGCCTCCAAGACGTTGTATGTCCATCAAATACATTGTTCTATTATGAAATTACCTTGAATTTTAAAAAGGCTCTGTTATGTTTCCGCAAAGTTCACCCGTTTCCTCCTGTTAATGGAAAATGAGGAAATTATCCTTGAGCAAATAATAATATTTTATCAGTTCACATTTCTTTTGAGTATTATTTTTTCCGTGATATGAAGGCATACGGTGTTCTAGGTGAACCTAGATACCGAAGTTACTGCATGTCTATCCTTATATTTGAACGAACATTTCACCAATAATTACAGCGAGTCTGATTAGTTTGTCGCAAGTCTAATGGCCTATCACATCATATTTGACTGTTCGATGTTCATTCATGTACTAATTCTTGTTTGCTTTGATAGATCGACAATTTTGCAGTAAACTGAATAAAATCGGTCTAGGGAAAAGCTGCATTAAGAGGAATTAAACAGACATGTATAGTCTCTCAAGTTAAAAAGTTCAACAACGGGACTTATTTTTAAGTTTCCTCTATCAACTAGTAATTTTAAACACTATTTTCGGAGATTTGTAATCTCTGGTGAACAGTGCAAAAATGATTCAGACAGAGAGAAAACATTACAATTCTTGACATTTATCTTGTTACTAAAAACTATCAATCGGCTAAGATGTGGGTTGTCTACTAACACATAAAATATTCGATAAGAAGCATTTCATAAATAAACATCCTAAAATACAACTCTTTTGTGGGTCACGTTTTGCCTACAAAAGATTAAGTTTATAATTACTGAAGGTGATAGGGTAACTCTGTAGGATTACTTTGACATTCAACTTAAGTACACATATATAAGACCCATATCTTAGACCAGAATATGGAATATTTGTATATGATTTACCAAACTACATTTAAAGTGAGTTGTTTAATTTTCATTTGCATATTGAGGATGTGTAGTTACATCTGGCGCATCTGCTTTGATCAGAAACGCTAAATTATATTTTTGAAAGTTCATAAACGTATCAAACGTTTCGTAAGTTTGCTATCAGCTACTGATTTATAGGAGTATTCAGTAGACTTTGTGCGATTTCATCCAAATGGGTTGGAGATCAAAGCTATTTGGTTCTTTGTCTCGTGATTATGTATTGTTTTACTTAAGCCACTTCCATGAAGATTTTTCACATCCATCTCACAGTCTATTCCGAAGATTAACCAACTGGAAGATACCAAGAAGAAAGAAAATCTGAAGGATAAAAAATCTGGTGCCAAAGTCATGAAATCACAAGAACCACCAGTAAACAAAGAGAAGAGTAAACTTTATAAACGTGGAGAAGAAGCACTGGAAGAGAAATACCTGGGTAAGTGAATAACTCTCAGACGGTTGCACTACAGAATGTAGCAAACATGATGGTTGTTGTGCTTTTATAGGTTAAAAGCTTGTGAAGGTTTGTTTGTAGCAACTATTTATCCCCAGAATACGTGATTTTTTACTTGAATCAAGGTCAAAGTTAAGTCACTGAACCTTTACTTAACTCTGCTTATTTGTTTGATTATAGCAGTTGTTTTGAGTTAGGACTCCATACAGAAAATAGCTTCATTAACAAACGATAGATACTCTGTCCGACGAAAATTTTAGGCAAACCTCTTTTATTCACAAAATATTATCAATTAGTGGAAGTGTTGTAAGGACAAAATATTTATTATTCACAAGAGTCCCGAAATGGCTGCTTTGATTTTACTATGATGATTGGCATACATTTTATACACAATAAATGCAGATATAACCAGATATGAAGTTGAAGATTGATGAATGTATGTTTTCTTCCTCACTTATACTCTTTTCCGGGTACTTGAGTTGCTTGAGAATGATACGAAAAAAGGTAATTTACTTCCCAATGTAAACTAGATAGTTATGTGCAATTCAACAACGCGAATTGAAAGGCTTTCGTCTATAACTTCAGAAATTTATTCAGAACTTACAGGTTTTATAATTAGCACACTTCTTTGGATCTATTGATACGTTATAAGTGGTCAATATTTTCAGTATCAGCTTATTCATAGATCGACTATAAGGTATTCGTCTTTAAAACGGAAGGTCTTGACTTTGATCCTAAAATAATTAGAACTTGACACTAAGAAAATGTAACTTAGTAAAACGCAAAAGTTGTATTCTTATTCGTGATATTAATAGCCTCTACAGTCAATTTTAAATCTTACATTGACGACCATTTATTTGATCCTTTACATTTACTTGATTGATGGTTTT